TGAGGCAGCTGATTCCCATGTAGCTGGCTGAGGCACACATACCCTTTGGCATAATTGAAAAAGTAATAAAATAATAATAATCTGACATCTGCATTTATCTGTCTCTGTTGTCTCTCACAGGTGGCTCCACCCAAAGCCACAATAACCCCAATATTTCTTATGGACCCTCTAACAGCAACAAATTATACTATCATATATTCCCTATATTCAGTGAAATAAAAGCACATCTCCAAATGGCAAGAAAGCCCATTTGTGCTGTTTCTGCCTACTGGCCACAAGGTGGCCATGTGGCTTCATCATCCTCTACAGTGTGGAGAAGGGCTTAGAGAGCTCTCTGGAAGAAGATGGTTAAGGGAGATCTCTGGGTCAGGTCTAGATTTTGGAAATTTGCACATGTGTTGAATGATGGCTGTAATAAAAAAATTAGAGACAAATGTTTCTTCTTCTATTGTAGAGATAGGTTTTGCTCTGAACTGCAGTTTGAACTGGGATCTGAATGGCTAGCATGCTTATAATGGGTATATTTCCAAGGTTAAGATTTGGGCCACAGGTAACTGGGGTGCTGCAGCTGGGTGATGTGATTTGGAGAAATCAGAGAAGCAGTTGTGTGTTGGAAAAGCCTTGGAGTCTTAGAGAGCCTGGCCCTACACCAGCCCAGGTCAGCCCTACCTGCTCTGGTGGACACAGAGGTAAGAGTCAAGGCAAACAGAGATGCTATCCTGGACCCCATCAGAGGGACCCTGGGCCCAAGGATCTGACAAGCATGGAGGTGCCATGAGCAGATCAACTAGTCAGACAGGGCTTGGAGGGGGCCAAAGCAACAGGATTTCTTCCCCCACCATCTTTCACACTCAGCAGGGAGATGCTGCAATCTAGTCTCCCTTAGTCATTCTCTCCAGTCTCTTGTGTGTTCCCTGGAAGCAGGATGTCTGGGCAGAGTTAGGAAGTTTTCGGTTTGTTTTTTTGCCTAGACTTCCCTTGACCTGATTTCAGGTTCTTTCCATGCGATTATGTATCTGCCTCAAATCTGTATTTTGAAGGTAGTTTTCTGATTCTTTTGCACATGAGTCCCATGGATACTATAATGTTTCAGCCTTCTATGGCTGCTGTAAGAAATTGCCACTAACCTCATGGCTTATAATGACTCAACCCAAACTTCTCGTTCTATAGTTCTGAACAAGAGAAATCCAAAATGAGTCTACTTGGGCTAAAACCCAAGTTTCAGTATGGCCATATGCCTTCTCAAAGCCCTAAGAGAGAATCTGTGGCTTTTTCAGGCCCCAGCACTCTGGGTTTCTGATCCCTTCCTCTTTCAAAGCCAGTGGAGACTATGGCCTGTCAGAGCTTTCTCCCTGCCCTGGTGTCCGGAACTGCTGGCTGGCTCGATCCGGGTTTCGGGTGGGGAGGGGGGTGAGTTCGCCTTAAAGTCCCAGGCAACCAACCTGGGGTCCAAGGAGGAAGGACGGTGGGGATGCGTGGAGTTGCGGTAGGGTCAGGCCTGCAGCCTCAGTCCGCCTGGTGTCCGGAACTGCTGGCTGGCTCAATCCGGGTTTCGGGTGGGGAGGGGTGTGGGTTCGCCTTAAAGTCCCAGGCAACCAACCTGGGGTCCAAGGAGGAAGCTCATTAAGCTTTTGTTATTTCATCCAAGTTTTTAGATTACAGTGGGCAGATTTGGATTAATCCCTCAGTTTGGGATTAAAGTTAACATAAATTTTTTTGGAGTTTTAGTTTTCTTTCGGTTTTAATATTAAATCCTTGGTCTGTTATTGGTTTGGTAGTTAATCCAACAAAGAAATGTACTTAAACTTTGATTTCAGCTGAAGGTTATTTTAAACCTTACAGAACATTTATAATCAAACCAAGACATCTAGTTGTTAGTGGTATTCTGTTATTGAAGTATTTTTATGTCCTTGCTGACTTTTATGTGTAACTTCTGATGTTCTGTTGGACCGTGAGGTAAGGTGGGAAATAAAATAGACAGTGAATGCTCGGACTTGGTCAGAGAGCAGAGACTGGGCTTGGAATCAATTTAATTGCTGCCCTGTCGTGGGGTTTTATGAGTTAAATCAAGGAACAGTGGTTGGGCCCAAAAGCAATACTCCTATTTTAGTATTTCTATTCTTGCTGATTTTCTCTATGGGAAAGGAAATACATGATCTTATTTAGACTCTTCTTCGTCTCACTTTTTTGTTGGATCCGCAGAGGAACGAGAGTCTTTGGTGAGTTCTTAACATGCACTACGATCAGCTGGACCTTCTTTTCCCACGAAGGTTGACCTGCCGTTTGGAGGGCAGAGCGAATGGGGTAAACTCTGCTTTAATGCAGTATTAGCCCACGCGGTTTCACATTGAGCCCTCTTGTGTATCAATATCAGAACTGATATTATTGGGGCCAGCCTGTGGTGTGGTGATTGAGGCAGCTGATTCCCATGTAGCTGGCTGAGTGGTTCAAGTCCGGACCTGGTGGCTTGAAAAACACACTGGCATATGTGTGTACATGCATGTCCAAAATCCCAAAAGGGGGGGGAGACAGAGAAGAGGGGATTAGAACACGGTCATCCCCCACGAGTGCTGTCTTCTCACTTTCTCTCTCAGGCAGGCACACATACCCTTTGGCATAATTGAAAAAGTAATAAAATAATAATAATCTGACATCTGCATTTATCTGTCTCTGTTGTCTCTCACAGGTGGCTCCACCCAAAGCCACAATAACCCCAATATTTCTTATGGACCCTCTAACAGCAACAAATTATACTATCATATATTCCCTATATTCAGTGAAATAAAAGCACATCTCCAAATGGCAAGAAAGCCCATTTGTGCTGTTTCTGCCTACTGGCCACAAGGTGGCACTGTGGCTTCATCATCCTCTACAGTGTGGAGAAGGGCTTAGAGAGCTCTCTGGAAGAAGATGGTTAAGGGAGATCTCTGGGTCAGGTCTAGATTTTGGAAATTTGCACATGTGTTGAATGATGGCTGTAATAAAAAAATTAGAGACAAATGTTTCTTCTTCTATTGTAGAGATAGGTTTTGCTCTGAACTGCAGTTTGAACTGGGATCTGAATGGCTAGCATGCTTATAATGGGTATATTTCCAAGGTTAAGATTTGGGCCACAGGTAACTGGGGTGCTGCAGCTGGGTGATGTGATTTGGAGAAATCAGAGAAGCAGTTGTGTGTTGGAAAAGCCTTGGAGTCTTAGAGAGCCTGGCCCTACACCAGCCCAGGTCAGCCCTACCTGCTCTGGTGGACACAGAGGTAAGAGTCAAGGCAAACAGAGATGCTATCCTGGACCCCATCAGAGGGACCCTGGGCCCAAGGATCTGACAAGCATGGAGGTGCCATGAGCAGATCAACTAGTCAGACAGGGCTTGGAGGGGGCCAAAGCAACAGGATTTCTTCCCCCACCATCTTTCACACTCAGCAGGGAGATGCTGCAATCTAGTCTCCCTTAGTCATTCTCTCCAGTCTCTTGTGTGTTCCCTGGAAGCAGGATGTCTGGGCAGAGTTAGGAAGTTTTCGGTTTGTTTTTTTGCCTAGACTTCCCTTGACCTGATTTCAGGTTCTTTCCATGCGATTATGTATCTGCCTCAAATCTGTATTTTGAAGGTAGTTTTCTGATTCTTTTGCACATGAGTCCCATGGATACTATAATGTTTCAGCCTTCTATGGCTGCTGTAAGAAATTGCCACTAACCTCATGGCTTATAATGACTCAACCCAAACTTCTCGTTCTATAGTTCTGAACAAGAGAAATCCAAAATGAGTCTACTTGGGCTAAAACCCAAGTTTCAGTATGGCCATATGCCTTCTCAAAGCCCTAAGAGAGAATCTGTGGCTTTTTCAGGCCCCAGCACTCTGGGTTTCTGATCCCTTCCTCTTTCAAAGCCAGTGGAGACTATGGCCTGTCAGAGCTTTCTCCCTGCATCCTTCTGGCTCTGGCCCTTCTACCTCCCTTTCCCACATTTGAGGACCCTTGTGATCATATTGGCCACACTGGCAAAATCCAGACTGTCCCTTTTATATCAAGGTCACCTGATTACCAATCTGAATTCCATTTAGAATATTAACTTCCCTTTGCCCCATAACTTAAAACATTTCTAGATTCTGGGGATTAGACAAGGACATCTTTGGAGGGCCATAATCCCACTTACCATGTTTGTTGCCGAGACAGGCAGAATAGCAGTCGTCTTTCAAAAGACAGAATGCGGCCCACAGTTTCACATTCTGGGTCCAAAGGACATCTCTGCCCACCAGAGGAATGCCAGTCTGTTGTAAATGTTTTGCTGTTTCAAATTGGCATGTGCTCTCATCTTCAATGAACTTAGCAGTTCAAGGTTTCAAAAAATTTTTAGAAAATGAAATTAAGGGATAAGTCTGTTTTAGTGCACTAAGATTATGAACTCCATGCAAAGTCTTTTTTTTATAATATGCATTTCCATGAGTTTTTTTGAAAAATCTGTTTTTCTCTGTGCCAACAGTAAAAATGTGGACTTTTGAATTTTTTTTCTTTTTTGTTAGTAAATAACTTAATTGGTCAACAGAGACTTCTTTCAACTTTTCATAACCTCCATCTTGAAAGGCATATGTGTGTGTTGGGGAGGTACGGAGGGAGGGAGATAAGCCCCTGTAAAGGAAAAAAGCCAGGAGTTAATGATTTAAAAACGTTAGGTTTTCTACTGGTAAGAATAAGATGTAAGTCAACACAAGAGCATTTTATTTACAAAAGTTTAAAAATAAGACAATCCTCATCTTGTCACATTATGGGAATAGAGAATGTGAAAACTTTTCTGTAATAGGCTTTGGGAATTAAAAAACAGTTTAAGGATAAAGTCTTTTACAGCAAAGAACAGCTTAGAAATCTAATGAGTCCTCAGGAGAGCAATTCAGTTCTTCCATTAGTAAAAATAAGTTGACCTCGCACTTCCTGTGGAGCTCAGAGGCCAACTCCTAAGTGTTTGGTGGTATGAGGGTGAGAACAGAAACATCAAACCACCAGTGAGAGGAATTTCAGAGTTTGCTGAAAAGGTGGCTGGCAATAAGACAGTGAATTCATCTTTGAGCACTTGCCGTCTGAGGTGCACATGGGTATAGTTGGCAGGCTTTTAGGTAAGAGATACTGTAGAAAAGGCGTGATGAACTGATAATGTCATACTAAACCTGAAGGGAACTTTTGGATTTAGAATTCTTATCTCAGGTTAATTAAGATTGAGCTTAGTCCTGCCTCCCAGAGATGCAGCCTCTTTTGAAAGGAGCTTTCAAGTTGGGGGTGGTGACTCATCTGGTGATGTCACTGAATGTGGGGAATCTTCTCTTCTCATGCTCACAAGTGCCCCGGTCTGATATTCCACACCTGCTCACACCCTGTCATGGGCCCATGGACCCTCTCCTGTGTGGTCCTTTGTATCCTGGTAGCCAGTGAGTCCATAGAATATTCAAGATCTTCCTGCTGTGCTTCCCTAGTCATGCTTATATTTTCCTTATTCTATTTTCTTTTATAGGACACACAGATGCTGGGGTCATCCAGACACCCAGGCACAAGGTGACAGAGATGGGACAAACAGTGACTCTGAACTGTGAGCCAATTTCTGGCCACACTGATCTTTTCTGGTACAGACAGACCACAGTCCAAGGACTGGAGCTGCTGACTTACTTCCGCAGCCGGTCTCCTATGGATGAAGGTGTGATGCCCAAGGATCGATTCTTCGCTGAGATGCCCACTGGATCACCCTCCACCCTGAGGATCCAGCCCACAGAGCCCAAGGACTCAGCTGTGTATCTCTGTGCCAGCAGTGTAGCCACAGCACTGCAGAATCAACCCCTCCCTGTGCAGAAACTATCCTGCTTCCCTTTCTCCCTCCAACTTCTAGCAGTTGTGAGTAAAGTCATCCATGCTCCTATTTCTGCATGAGAAATAAATTAAGTCAGGGCCTGATAAAGACAGAACATGATGAAGCATCAACAGAAATTCTTGTGTAGGTAATAATAAAGGAAATGGAGGACAGAGGTTCCTTACAAATTGTCTGTGGGCTCAGAATTCATGCACGTGTGAGATAAACCTGCGTGCCCACAATGTAATTTCCCTGCCTTTGTGCATTTGTCATCCCCACCTGAACGGCAGAAGCTCGCGATAATAGCCATGTCTTCCAATCTATTCAGCCTCTTCTTTCTCTTCTCACTCTAAGCCATAAACAGAACACTGCCTCCTCTCCAAGAAAACCAATTATTCCTGGTTGGAAAATAGACATTGTAGACATTCTTTTGTAATGCTAATTTCACCTTCACACTTCTGTAGGGCTTTCTTCATTATAGGATGATCTCAGGTGTGGGCAGACAGTTAAATACTGGAGAGGGAAGCTATCTTTCCTGGAATCCTGGAATTCATGTGTCTCCATCCTGCCTAAAGAGAACCTAGTGTCAGCTGAGGGCTTGTGTGGACTCAGAATATTGGTGAGGCCTCTTCAGCTGCTACTCCATCAAACCAACACGGACCTATGTTGGGATACCTGAAAGCACAAAGGCTTGTCCAGTCTTACTTTGCTTTGTTTCCTTTTGATCCTTCGTCATTTAGAACCAAGTCTATATTTTATTCCTGAATTATGCCAGAAATTTTTATATAACCCTGTGATTCACTCTGAATGCTATTAATGCTTTTCTTCTGTAGTCTTATTTACATCCTGATCCCTATCAGAGTACCACTGGCCACTGCAAAAGATGCCTGTATTTTAGTGTCCAAAGGAATTTAGGTCCACATGAGTTCATCAAGTAGCCAAAACCTAGTTGTCATTAACCCCCTCCTCCTTTTTTTTTTTTTTTTTTTTATGATTGTAGGTCCCTAACTTTCTTGGTGGAAATAGTGCAGATTAAAATTCAGCTTCAATAATATGTAAATCAAGAGACGTAATGACATAATTTGTGTTTGTGTGTGTGTGTGTGTGTGTGTGTGTGTGTGTGTAATACTAGTGTTGTCCCTGTTTTCCTGGATTCTCCCTGCTACTTCCAGATAATTTTCCTCCTGCATTTAACTTGTGTAAAAGCAAACAAAAACAAAAAAATATTTTCTTTGCACAAATGGCATTAGCAATATTTCACTTTATCTTCGCGTTACTTCCTTACCAACAGAACCCTCTTCTCACTCAGTCCCTTCTCTCCAGGACTAATCCTGCCATCCTCTTTGATGACTTTATCATCTCATAGACCAGTTATTGCTTTCTCAGTTTCTTAACTTCATTTCTGGTAGTTTTTTCTTTCCCTCTTCTTTTCTGATTCACATCCATGATAATAGACTATGTAATAAACAGCAAGAAATTATATTACAAAATTGTTATTTTAATCATTCTATCCTCTTACCATCACCTCCCTTATTTTTATCACACTAATTCCATAAAGCATACAATTCTGTCTCTCTGACTCTTCCAGGCCATGCAACTCAAAACTTTCAAACACCTATGTTTTTATTTCTTACTTTGTCTAAATCATATTTCAATGTTTCAGACTATAGTATCCACCCTCATTCAGTCCAACTCCTCTGGGCACCCATGAACAGCAAAATAAAGGGAAGACTACTAATGGAACTCTGTGGAGTTTCCTCTAGTTTCTGCCTTCTATTATTGTAACAGTTTGCTAGTAGGTCCCTCCCCTTCCATCCTTACTCCATCCCAGTCACCAAGTCAGAGTCTGCTCTCAACACAGAAATCAAAGTTATCCTATAAATCAGAGCTCTTCTGTTGAACAGCTTTGCATTTCACTCAAAAACCTGCAGCCTACATAAGCCTAGGAGACTCTAGGCCACCCCTCTCGGCATTACGTATCTTACCTCTTCTTCTACTCTCTTTCCTTTATTTATTTTTCTGCAGTCATTCTGGCTTTCTGGTCTTTCCTGGAATATACCAGGCATACTTCTACTTCAGAGCCTTTGCTCTTTTTCCTTTGCTGCAAAGTTCTCTTCCAAGATGTCTGTCTACCTTTCTTTTCTTTCTTCTTTCCTGTCCTTCTTTCCTCTTTCTTTCTTTCTTTTTCTTTCTTTCTTTCTTTCTTTCTTTCTTTCTTTCTTTCTTTCTTTCTTTCTTTCTTTCTTTCTCTTTCCTTTCTTTCTCTTTCCTTCTTTCTTTTTCCTTTTTCTTTTCTTTCTTCTTCCTTTCTCTCCTTTTCTTTCTTTCTCTTTCATTCTCTTTCTTTCTTCCTTCCTTCTTTCCTTCCTTCCTTCTTTTTCTCTCCTCTTTTTCTTTCTTTCTTCCTTTTTTCCCTTCCTCCCTTCATTCCTCCTTCCTTCTTTTTCTTTTTCTAGCCTATTTCTGTTTTTCTTTAATAAGAGAGAGAGGGAGGGGCACTCCCAACAGGGTCTTCATGCCATCATCCTTTCCTAGCCTCAGCCGTCCTGGATCATGTGCACACCCAGGATGTATAGGGAGGCTCTGGGACCCAAACCTGGACCTTCCCATATGAGTCCAGCACTGCAGAGGATTGATTACTAGTGCAACACAGTCTGCCCCCTATTTTCTTCTATAATTTTTTAGTATCTCATCTTCCAAAGAAGTCTACTTTAATAGCTTTAGTTATCATTGCAAACTTCCCAACATTTCTACCTCTTGTACTTTTATCTTTTCCCCCCTCAATATTTAACATTGTATAATAAATGTTCTTACCATTTTTTTGAGTATTGTCTCTTTCCCATTAAACTGTAATCTCCATAAGCAGATATCATTGCTGTTTTAGAACAATATCTAAAACATCATAGGCACATGGTAAATATCTACTGAATGAATGAATAAATATGTGCATTCCTAACTCTGAGCTTCCTGAATATAGAGACTTTAACATTTTCTTATTTTACTTTATATTTTTTATTAATTTTCATTATTATTTATACATTTAATCACTATACATCATTTAGACTTTAAAGAGACTTTACCAGCATGACACACACCTCAGTCCAACCCAGTTGAGAACATACGCATGTCCTCATCAACAAATAAACAATATCTGCATCTCACTTATTTTTTATTGAGTTCAACAGAGAACTTTACATTTTTCCATCTGTCAGATGTTTCCTCCCCTTGCACCTCTACCACACACTCTCTACCAACCACTCTCCCCTCCCTTACAGTCTCTAGCATTTACACCCATCCTCTCCACCATCATACCTTTAGAGCTCTTAACCTCTGCCATTGCATTCAGGACAAACTGAGTGGGGATATACAATGTGTGTCTTTCAATGTCTGGCTCACTTTGTTCCACAGTAAGTCTTCTATATTCATACATTTTGAGTCAAATGATAGGATCTCATCGTATCTTATAGTTGTGTAATATTTTATAGTATATGCGTGCTACAGTTTTTCAACCCAGACATCAATTTTTGGACACTTGGGGTTTTTTTTTGTTTGTTTGTTTTAGCCATTGTAAAGAATGCTGCAGTAAACATGAATGTGCAACTATCTTTCCAACTGAGTGTTTTTTATTTTTTTTAATCCTTTGGGTAAATACCAAAAAATGGATTACTGGGTCATATGGAAGTTCTATTTGTATATTTTTTGAGAAACCTCCATATTGTTTTCTACAGAGGTTGATCTGATTTACATTCCCATCAATAGTGTAAGAGGGTTTCCTTTTCAGTGCAGCCTCAACAACACATGTCATTCTTTATTTTTATCCTTACCACTCTAACTGGAGTTAAAAGATATCTCACTGTGGTTTTAATTTCCCTTATGAAGAGACTTTGAACATTTTTTTTTCATATGTTTCTTGGCTATTCACAAGTCTTTCTTGCAGAGTTGTTTATTCAGTTCATTTACCCATTTTTAAATTGAATTTTTTCTTGGTAGGCAAGCTGCCCATAAAACTTTTCACCACTAGTCTTAACATTGTATTTTAAACAAGGAAGGTAATGAAATTTTAAGTTTAGAATAAATTAACTAAATAAATATATTTAATAAATAAATGCAACAAAACTTAGAGCCACTGTCCTCCAGTGAGTGTCATGTCAGCAGGCTCCAATCAATTCCATGAATACAAGATTACACATTGATCTTCATAATGAAGAGATGTGGAGATGTTTAGACATTTATAGCTATAAGAAACTTGAATTATTCTCTCGCTCTAATAGGTCCATTTGATTATTTTTTTATAGTGTGTATTTCCTCTTTCAGATATTGCAAAGATTTCTTCATCTCCTGGAACTCATCAGCTCCTTTTTCTGGCCTTTTCTGCAGTTCATTGTCTCTTTTCCTTCCCTGTTAGCTTTGTCACTATGAATAGTCTAAATTTGTTATCTGACATTTCTATGAGTTTCATTGTACTGAGGATGAAAAGGAGTTATTCTTTTCCCTTGAAGGAGAGGTATTTTCTTACGTTCCCATATTTCTTGTGACCCTGTGGTGATTTCTGTCATCTGATAGATGGTGTGTTTCTTCCTAATTCTTGAAGTTCAATCTGAGCATTCAGAAGTGTGCAGGAGTAGGTGATCTGCAATCACTCTTTTGTTTCACTTTCACTCTTTGTGCATCATATTCAGTGGGAATAAAGGACTATTCTGACCCTAATCGTATTCAGATGTTTGGAAGCTGTTCACTTAGACTTGGCTAGACACTTAGTGCATAGAGGCTGAGCAGTCAGTCAATAAAGATAAAGAAAAAAGGAGAAGAATCAGAGAAGAGGAAAGAAGAAGAAATGATAAAATAAAAAAATAAGAAAAGAGATCATAAAAACTTTAGATTTTAATTTTAAAAAGCAAAAAATGAAAACTACTTGGCATGCATGCAATATTTCACAGCTCAAGTTCATATCCATCTCAGGATGGGCCTGGGTTTGTGCTGAATTATTCTGCTAGTGACACAATAATTGTCCTAAAACACATTTTTAAATTGTTGTGAATTTTATGATTCTGCATTGCTCACAGGATAAAAGCTCCACTTTAGGATGGTGTTTGAGTTTTTGAAAGTCTGGCTATCTGATGCTTCATAATGTTTATTTCACTAAGTCATACACACTTCATCCCCCTGCAGAACATTAATTGTGCTTCTCTACACACCTGCTCTTGCAATTTATACCATCTTCTCCATATTGTCCAAAACTTCTCATGACAAGGTGCTGTCAAATACCCTCCCTGCTTCTCTATGTACTCCATTTTCACAGTGGAGTAAAATAGATATTCATTTTGTAGAGGAACATCCTTATAGATTGAAAAGAATTATTCTTGCTGATTATACCATTTTTACATACTGTTGGAGGTCAGTTAGCTCACTGAGTATTGCTTCTATCAAGTCCTTAACCCTTATCACTTGAGATATTCCAAGAGAGATTTCCCTCATTGAAGTTGAGATACTTGGCCTGTGAAGACTGCTAAGAGGACTAAAAGAGAAGACACAAGGATAGAGAAAACTTTTGTGGACCACACGTAAAACAAAGGATCAGTATCTGGATTATTTAGCCAAGATTCACAGAACTGTCTATACGTAGCATAGATTTATGAGTAATAATTGCTGTTTCAAGCCTGTAGGTTTGGGAGGAGATTTGTTACAAAGCATATCTGAATTTCCTGCTTGGGTATCAAATTCTTAAGGAATAATTTTTGGGGTCTCTGAGTGACTCCCAAGTATACTTTTACTGAAGCTAGAGCACAAGTCTAGAGACATAGGAGGAGCCCCAGCCACAAGTGCCCTGGAGCTGTGAGTGAGGACAAAGGATGAATTTATGCTCCAGGAATGTGTTAAAGAACTTCTAGGTATGCTTTAATTTATATCAATTGATGTCTATGACTGGGTCCCACCGTGGGTGACAGTGATGTAATCATGAGAACTGCCATGTAAGGACAAGGGACGTCCCTCATCTTCTGCTCCTGTTCACTAGGATTGTGATCTGTTGAACCTCTCATTCTGCCCGGCCTTGGCATGGCCCCCAGGCTCCTCTGCTGGGCAGCCCTGTGTCTCCTGGGGGCAGGTGAGTCCTCTGAACACCAAGATCTCCACAGTGAACCTACCATCGATTATTCTGATCATTTCCACAGTGAACCTACCATCAATTATTCTGATCATTTCCTTGTTTTCATTTTCAAATTCTGTATTTTGCCCCCACAGAACTCATGGCAGCTGGAATCACCCAGTCCCCCAGACTAAAGATTTCAGAAAAAGGACAGGTTGTGACTCTTTGGTGTGACCCTATTTCTGGCCATGTTACACTGTACTGGTACCGGCAGAGACCGGGACAAGGACCAGAGCTCCTGACATACTTTCAGAATGCGGCAACGGTAGATGAATCTCTGCTGCCTAAAGAACAATTTTCTGCAGAGAGACCCAAGGGAGCAGACTCCACTCTGAAGATCCTGCGTGCAGAGCTGGGGGACTCGGCTGTGTATCTCTGTGCCAGCAGCTTAGCCACAGCATCACAGAAACACTTCCCACCTGTGCACAAAATTGTACATTTCTCTCTCCCTACTCAGCCTACAGGCAACCCTAAAGAGAGGCTCCACCATTTCCTTATTGTCCAGGGGGATTTAAAAATTCCTTTTTGAAACAGGTGGGCTACAAATGGTGTTTCAGAAGAATTAGGACTAGAGAATTTGAAACACTTTTCAGCAGAAACTCATGAAGGCAAATTTGAAAGTAACTTACCATAGATTCAGTGTTCAGAGGTAGTGATGATTGATCTCCTATAAAAACAAGCAATTGTGAAACACATACAATAAATTTTTAAATGTAGACTGTTATAATATGGCAGTGACAATCAGCAGCCTCTTCCTACATAACTGTCACCATCTAAATGATTTGAATTGATATCCTTATTAACAGCCTCATTCTAGCTTCATTTATTCCTTTACATTGACATTCCTCTGAAACAAAGTCTCAATGCGTACAATGTGTGGGAAAAACGTTTTCTCCATGGTTTTGTGGAAATATGTTAACAATATCATTAATGATGGTAATTTCAACTATTTTATTTGGCACGTTTACAACTTCAAAGAAAGGCATACCAGTGGATATCCAGCCAACCAGTCACGTCTTATATTAAAATCAATCCACTTTGGGACCAGCAGATGGCATAGCGGTTTTGTCACTGGACTCCCACATGGCTGACCATGGTTCGAGTCCCTAAAGAGAGGCTCCACCATTTCCTTATTGTCCAGGGGGATTTAAAAATTCCTTTTTGAAACAGGTGGGCTACAAATGGTGTTTCAGAAGAATTAGGACTAGAGAATTTGAAACACTTTTCAGCAGAAACTCATGAAGGCAAATTTGAAAGTAACTTACCATAGATTCAGTGTTCAGAGGTAGTGATGATTGATCTCCTATAAAAACAAGCAATTGTGAAACACATACAATAAATTTTTAAATGTAGACTGTTATAATATGGCAGTGACAATCAGCAGCCTCTTCCTACATAACTGTCACCATCTAAATGATTTGAATTGATATCCTTATTAACAGCCTCATTCTAGCTTCATTTATTCCTTTACATTGACATTCCTCTGAAACAAAGTCTCAATGCGTACAATGTGTGGGAAAAACGTTTTCTCCATGGTTTTGTGGAAATATGTTAACAATATCATTAATGATGGTAATTTCAACTATTTTATTTGGCACGTTTACAACTTCAAAGAAAGGCATACCAGTGGATATCCAGCCAACCAGTCACGTCTTATATTAAAATCAATCCACTTTGGGACCAGCAGATGGCATAGCGGTTTTGTCACTGGACTCCCACATGGCTGACCATGGTTCGAGTCCTGGACCCAGAGACTTGAAACTCATGCTGGCCTCCCAAGAGGAGAATGGAGGAGAAGAATGGCCATCCCCATGTGGCTGATTTATTTCTTGTTTTCTGTCTCTCCTTCTCTTTCCATTTCTCTGGTAAGCACACATGCCCTATAGCAAAAATATCTTAAAAAAAAAATCAATTCCACTTTGTCCAGAGCACTCCAGCCCTTCGATGCAATCATCACAGCTCAATACTGTATCTAGGCTGGGCCAGCAGCCCACAGGCTCTGGAGGACATTTATACCAGCCTGCCTTTCTATATTAAAATAATTCTTCAGGGCATTAAGATACTCCTTGTAAGAACTTCTAACATAACCAATGGTCATAATTCAATTGTCCCGTATGATAATTTGCTCTTTGTGTTTAGGTCCAGATCCTCTACTCTAACTTCTGTTGAATTCTCTAAGATCATACAGAAGCACTGGATGGAACTGATTAGAAATCAGCTTCCAGTTAGCGTAATGGCTATGTCGCTGAACTCCCATGTAATCGACCATGGTTCGAGTCCCGTACCCGGTGGCTTAAACTCATGCTGGGCGCGTGTGTATGCATGCCCAAGATCCTGAGTGGAGAATGGAGGAGAAGGGATTGTGCTTTGGCCATCCCCTCCTAGGGGGTTATTTCTCGCTTTCTGTCTTTCTGTCTCTCTGTCTTTCTGGTGAGCACACACACCCTATAGCAAAAACCTCTCAAAAAAAAAAAAATCAGCTTCCTAGGAACCCTCTGAAGGCATCATCGGCACTCATGTCTTCACCTCCTTCCTTATCCAATCAAGCAGCAAGTCACAGTTTACATCTGTTTATTCATTGCTCATCTCCCGCCTATTTCTCCATCTGACAAAACCTTAGTTGATGAAAAAACACAGCCTTCACCATCTCTTTACCAGACTCTTTAGTGGGTTCTATTTCTAACCGCTACATTGTTTTCCTGTTACTAACTTCCCCGTACTTTCTCCAAGATCATCTTCATTTCTTTGAGCATACATCACAGTCTGATGATGTTCATATCTGAGATCTTCTTTGGCTAGTTTTATTGCTTTTCCTTTTCTGTTGCTTCTCAGTGTTTGTATTTTATTTTTCCAGATGAACCTGATTATCTTTGTTATTGTATCGGACACTGTGGTTGTAGAAATTATTTTTGGTGTAAGATGGATGTATCTTTCTTCAGAGGGAATTTTATCTTACTTCTATTAAGTGTGAGGAAACTGAAAAATCTGGGGTTCCATGAACCAGAATTCAAGGCTTCGAATCTCCTGGGTCTCCAGGAGTACAGATTTACTTCCGGGTCATCGTCACCCTGCAAGTTTGCCCATGCCCCATTTGATACCTTCTGGTCCTTGGCTTTATGCTCCGGCCTGTGAGTCATGGTCTTGTGCACCAGCTCAGGATCATTAATACACAGAAGGGCAAGGAGACAGCTGTTCACACCTGCCCAGGCTTTTGTCCTCTCCAAGATCCCAGCTAAGTTGTTCCTCACTATATTTTTAGGACCTCAATCAATTAAGTTTTAGATGTCATGATTTTTTTTATCCAACTAGTTTCATAACGATAGGATTGCATGTCCTCATTTATAACTACTGGGATTAAAATTAACAGCATTTTATTTGGAGTTTTAATTTTCTTTGCATTTTAATGTTGGAGTCTTAATCTAAGATGTATTCAATATTTAACTTAAATAACATAGAGATGCCATATTTAAACTTTCATTTCAACTGAAGTATTGTTTAAGAACTTACAGGAGACTTATAATCAGATTGGGACACCTGTTTTTGCCATTTAATTACTGAAGCATTTTAATACTGTTATTGGCTTTTGTCATATAACATCATGGCAAGACATTCCATTGGACTGTGTGGGAAGAGGGAAACACATTAGACAAAGAATGCTTTGACTTGTTCGGAGCACAGACTGGGGCCAGCAGCTCGGAGGGACTGACATAATTGCTGCCCCATCATGGCATCTGTGTGGTTTTATGAGTGAACCCAAAGAGCAGTGGTTGGAATTACAGGGAGTAACTGAGATGTGGTAGTTGACTTGGCCTTTTACCACGGATAGCATTTTATTCTACATTCCACATTCCATGTCTTGAGGTCTTTCCAAGAGCCATACTCTTGTCTTACTCTTTCTATTCCTGGCTGATTCTTCTGGGAACGGAAATGGAATATCTTATTAGTCTTTTCCTCATAGTCCATCTTTATCTTCTCACTTTCTTCTTGGTTTCCTAGAAAAAAAAGGTATTCAATAGAGTTTTATTCTGTTTTTTACATAGACTAAAATCAGGGGGCGACTTTCTTTTCCACACAGGGTTGCCGTGCAGTTTGGAGGATGAGAGGAGGAGGTAAACTCTGATTCAGTGCAGCGTCAGCCAGCCTACGTGGCCTCGCATTGAGCCCTACTGTTTATCAGTAGTGAAACTGACACGATTATCTCCATCTGCCTGTTTCCAGTGTCCCACTCTCAGGTGATTCCGCCAGGCTATAATAACACTAATATTACTTATAGACCCTCTAACATCAACAAATCATAATCTCCCATGTCCCCTATGTTCAGTAAAGCAAACCACAACTCTCCCATGCCTGGCAAGAAAGCACATTTGTGCTGTTTCTGCCCGCTGGCCACAAGGAGGCACTGTGGCTTCATTTTCCTCTAGAGTCTGGGCGGAGGCTGAAAGAGCTTCCAGGAAGATGGTAAAGGGAGAACATAGGGAAGGCCTAGATTTAGGGAACTGGTTTGCAGATATGTTGAATGATGGCCGTAATGAAAGAATCAAGCATTTCTTCCTGTACTGCAGAGATGGGTTTTGCTCTGGATCAAGCTTTGGATTGGGCTCTCAAAGGCTGGCCTGCTTGTAATGGGTATACCTCTGCAGTTGTTAAGATGCGGGCACAGAGAGCTGGGGTGCTGCAGCTGAGTGATCTGATTTGGGGAAATAAGAGAAGCAGTTTGTGTGTCAAAGGAGCCTGAGAGAGCCTGGCCCTACACTAGTCCAGGCCAGCCCTGTCTGGTCTGGTGAGTACAGAGGTTAGAGCCAATAGAAGTGGAGATGCTGCTCCAGACCATATCAGAGGGACCTGACAATCACAGTGGTGCCACTAGCAGTTCATCCAGTCAGACAGTGACTGGGTGGACCAAAACAACAGGATTTTCTCTTCCAGATGTTTTTGTACTCAGCAGGAATACGCTACAATCTAGTTCTGACCTTGCCGTTCACTCCAGTCTCCTATGTGTCCCCTGGAAGCAGATGATGTCTGGGGGGAGTTAGAGAGCTTTTTGTTTGTTCGTTTTTTGCAGAGGCTTCCCTTGGATTTCAAGTTCTTTCCGTATGATCGTACATCTGCCTCCCTCTTGTATTGTACTGAGCTCTTAGCTTCCAACTCTGTCACCAGCAGGAAGACGCTACAATCTAGTTCTGACCTTGCCGTTCACTCCAGTCTCCTATGTGTCCCCTGGAAGCAGATGATGTCTGGGGGGAGTTAGAGAGCTTTTTGTTTGTTCGTTTTTTGCAGAGGCTTCCCTTGGATTTCAAGTTCTTTCCGTATGATCGTACATCTGCCTCCCTCTTGTATTGTACTGAGCTCTTAGCTTCCAACTCTGTCACTCGTGTCCCCTAGATACAATCATGGTTTAGATTTCCATTGGCCCTATAAGAAATGTTTGTTAACTGTAGCTCCCAACAGCTGAAGATGTATTATCTTACAGTTTAGGATGTTAGAAGTACAGAATGTGTCTAACTGGGCAAAATTCAAGGTATTAGCAACATTACATGCCTTTTCAAGTCTCTACAAGAGAATCTGGTTTTTGTCTGTTTGTTTGTTTTCTGTCCTTTTCATCTTCCAAGGCCACCAGCGCTCTTTGGTTCATGGCCCTTCTACCTGCAGAGCCAGCCATGGCTGGTCAGATCTTTCTCATACTGCATCGCTCTCATGCTGATCCTTCTCTTCCCTTTTCCTTGTTTCAGGACCCCTGTGATTATATTACACCTACCTGGAAAATCCAGAATGCTCCCCCTACATTAAGGTCAGCTGATTACCAATTTTCATTTTTTAGGTTTGCCATAGCACACATGTACTTGCCAGAGATCGACAGAGAGAAAGTGAGAAATCGCCCCCAGGGAGGATGCCTACACCACAACCCCATCTCTTCTATTATCCTCTTGGGATTTTGGGCATTCATGCACACACACCCAATGTGATTTCTTTCTTTTTATGATTCAATTCAGTTTAATTTTCTTAGTACATTCAACTACTGCATATCATTACAGCATACCAGATGAATACCCTGTATATTTGTCCAAAGATATTACTATACACATTGTCACCAACAGATTATTTTCTGTTTCTGTGTCCCTTAAATGTTTTGCTTATTTCTTTTCCTCCTCAATTCCCTCCCTCTCACCTTTCCCAACTTGCCACCCTTCTCCCACACTGCCTCTAGTCCACGGTTGTTCTCCATGTTTTTACATCTTCCAGTTTGTGTCATGGAGTGCAGACATTCGGTACATGTTGACTGGAGACATACAAGCTACTGGGGCTGGGACCAGAACTGTGGTAGGCCATGTGGGAATTGGACGCCTTGACCACTATGTCATGGCTGGCCCTCTGATTACCAATTATAATTCATTTAGAACATTAACTCCCTTTTGCCCAAATTTCTGGGAATTATCATAGACAAAGACATGTCTGGAGGGCCACCATTCTGCTTTCCACACTTGGTTCCTGTGACTGGGAGGAACAAGCAATGCTCTTTCAGAAGAAAGAATGCCGGCCATGATTTTGCACTCTGAATCCTCAGACACTGCAAGGGGACAGAGCCCACTAGGGAAACAGGCACCACTAGGGAAACTAGCCTGCTAGCTACGTGTTCACAATTGGCATGTGCTCTCAGCCTCAGAGAAACCAGCAGTGCGAGAGGGGTCCAAAAAATTCCTGGAAAAATTAACTAAACTACAACTCTATTTTGGTGTATATATCTCTATCTATCTATCTATCTATCTATCCACACACACACACATATTATATATATCTATATAGATATATAGATATATATACACGTATACGCACACACACTTTTTTTTTAAGAGAGATTTTTGTTATAGGGCATGTGTGCTCCCTGGAGAGACAAGAGAGAGACAGAGAGACAGAAAGTGAGAAATCACCCCTGGGGGGTTGGCCATGTAGCAATCTTTTCTTCTTCATTTTCCTCTTTGTATTTTGAATACACATGCACATACACCCAGAGTGAGTTTCAAGCTGCCAGGCTGGGACTCGAACCATGGTTGGCCATGTGGGAGTCCACCGATGTAACCATTATGCCATCTGCTGGTCCTAGTATAAAAATATTTTGAAAGTAGTTTTTTCATAACATGTATTTTTATCAGCTGCTTGAAAACCCTGTATATCTTTCTGTGCAAATGGCAAAAATATGGACTTAAACTTGTCTTCTTTTTTGTTAGCAGATAACTTACAGATCAACCCATGAAGGAGCTTCTTTTAGTTCTTCTTAACCTCCACACTTACAGGAAGTTGGTTTGTGGTGGGGGGGGATAGGAAGGGCTGGAAGGCCCCTTTTATAGAGAAAAGACCGGTGTTAATGGTTTGAAAACATTAAGTTTTTCCAGGAGTAAAGATAAGATATAAATCAATTGAGGAGTATTTGCAAATTTCAAAGATTAAGACTATCCTCTGGTTTAGGGGGATAGAAAATGTTAGAAATTTTTTAAAATTTTATTTTTTTATTTTAATTAGAGTTTTACCATAGGGCATATAAAGAAATTCTGCGCTAGGGGCTTTTAGATTTGATACAATTTAAGGATAAATAAACTAGAGAAGTTTTTTGCTGTAAGGAAGAGCTTTCAAATATAATCATTTCTCAAGACATTAAATTCAGTTTTCATATCCCTTAATTGAGTTGACATCCTTCTTCTTTGGAGCATTCATTCAGAGGCCAATTCTTAGATAACTGAGTGTGCGTAGATGGTTAGGTGTGTCAAGCCACCAGTGAGAGAGACATGAGAGTTTGCAGAGAAGATATCTAGAAATAAGGCGATGGATTCATCTTTAAATATGTGTAGTCTGAAGTACATGTGGGTATAGTTGACAGGCTCTTAGGTAAGAGACCCTGCAGAAAGGGCATGATGAACTGATAATGTCACAGCAAGTCTGCAGGGAGCTCTGGTTGTATAAATCTTATCTCAGGCCAATTAAGGTTGAGTTTGGTCCCACTTGAGTCATCTCCCAGAGATGCAGCCTCTTTTTATTTTTAATTTATTAATTGTCATCATAATCTTGTTTATATTACATTGAATCACATATAACTTTACAGTGTATTACATTTCTTTTTCTAGAAGGAATACCATGCATATCAGTCAATACAGAGACATTCAAATCCCCATTTCATCATCTAATAGCTTTTCATTTTTTTCTCAATTATTATTATTATCCCAATTATTTTTTAAACAGCCAATCACTATTTCTCATTTTGCTTGTAAAAAGACTTTACCCAACATGAAATACTTCTCAGACCAATCCAGTTGAGAATATTATACACATCATCAACAGGTAATAAACGATATCTGTGTCCTACTGATATCATGCCTCTGTATTTGTTCTCTTGCTATCTTTCTCTATACTCAGCCTCTTTTGAAAGGAGCTTTCAAGTTGGGGGTGGTGGCTCATCTGGTGATGTCACAGACAGTGGGGATCTTCTCTTCTCATGCTTACAAGTGCCCTGGTCTGATATTCCATACCTGCTCACACCCTGTCATGGACACATGGGCCCTCTCTTGTGTGGCCCTTTGTATCCTGGTAACAAGTGAGTTTGCAGAATATTAGGATCTTCTTACTGGGCTTCCTTAGTTGTGAATGTTTATATTTTCCTTATTTTGTCTTCTTTTTTAGAGCACACAGATGCTGGGGTCACCCAGACACCCAGGCACAAGGTGACAGAGATGGGAAGAGCAGTGACTCTGAACTGTGAGCCAATTTCTGGCCACGCCGCCCTTCTCTGGTATAGACAGACCATTAGGACACTGGAGTTTCTGATTTATTTCAACAACAAGGCTCCTGTAGACGATTCGGGGATGCCCAAGGGTCGATTCTTCGCTAAGATGCCCAATGCATCACTCTCCACTCTGGAGATCCAGTCTACGGAGCCCAGGGACTCAGCTGTGTATTTCTGTGCCAGCAGTACAGCCACAGTGCTGCAGAATCACCCTCTCCCTGTGCAGAAACCATTCTGTGTCCCCTTCCTCCAGCTCCCAGCAGTTCTGAGTAAAGTCTTCCCTATTCTTCTCTCCCCATGGGAAATAAGTAGATCTGAGGTATATCAAAGACAAAACAAAACAAAACAAAACAACAACAACATTATATAGTATTGACAGAAAATCTTATGTAGGAAATAGCAAAGAAAATGGGTTTCAGAGGTTTGTCACGAATTGTCTGTGGGCTCGCAGCTCACCCACAGGGAAGATGAACCTTAAATACCCCCACAGTAGAGTTTCTGTCTTGCATTGTCATCCCCACCTGTATAGTGATGCTGATAATAAGCTATGTCTTCTGAGTTACTCAGTGCTCTTTGCTCTCTTCCCTCTGTCAGGTTTGGAAAGCAAAATAAAATTATAAAGCATTTCAAACCAACTAGCCATGAAAGGTATGTGGATGTGGGATTTTAGCCAAGCTCATTGTGACCCCATGACCTATTTGAACGATGTAAGAAAAGCTTTATCAGACTGACGGACACAGGCTCAGCTTTACAACTAACTTACTTGCACTAAGGTGTCACAAGCTCTGGTTGTTCAGGGCACAACTCTGCCTGTTTGGAAAACTGGTTGTCTAGAACACTATTTAGGAAGGTTATGGCCAATTAAAAGCTTATGCTGGGGACGAGCAGATGGTACAGTGGTTACTTTGCTGGACTCCCACATGGCTGACTGAAGTTTGAGTTTCGAACTCGGTGGCTTGGAAATCATCCTGGTCGCATGTGCATGTGTGCCCAAGATGCTGGGAGGAAAACGGAGGGGAAGGAATTGTAGCATGGCCATTTGCCCTGTGGGTGATTTCTCACTTTTCCTCTCACTGTGGTTTTGTTGTTGTTGTTGTTGTTTTTTTTTCCTTTCTTTCTTTCTCTGGTGAGTGCATATACCCTAAGTTAAAAACAAAACAAAACAAAACTTATGTTGGAAATGTCAACCAATGTAAACTATTCATTACAACTCCTGTATCTCTCTTTTCTCCCTCTTCCTTCACTTTTCTCTCAATATAAAATGAACTTTCAACCTTGACATTTTGGAGAACACTGGCTATAGGTAACCAATTCTCGTTCCTCTGGGAAGCCATTCTCACAGTTTGGAATTGAATAAACATTTTTACTCATTAAATTAACTTCCAGTTAGACCTCTTCTATTTTAGGTTGACATCTGTGAATAAATTACTTTCCCTCTCCCCACAAGAATTTTTTGATTAAAAAAAGAAAAAAAATTTAACTGTGATGGTAGACATTTCTTTATGATGCTAATTTCAACTTCACATTTATGTAGGGATTTTTTATTACATCTAAAGAATATCTCAGACATGGAAAAGTAGACAGTTTGATACAAATGGCAAAGTGGAAAATTAATGTTATATATAAAGAAAGAGGACTAAGAAGGAGTGATAGTTGTAAGCTATCCCTCCTGGATCCTGGGGCCCATTTGTGGGAGAGCTCCAAGCCACCTGAAGGCCTGTGTGGACTCAGAATGCTGGTGAGGCATCTTCAACTGCCTGCTCTGGAAAATCAACATGGATCCTCCCTGAGATATCTGAAGGTTATGCAGGCCTGTCCAGTCTCCCTTTGTCCTGTTCTTTCTGATCCTACGTCCTTAGCATCTGAATCTGTATTTTAATTCTGACTTAAGCCTGAAATTTATACACAACCCTTACGATACACATTAAATGATGTTGATGCTTGTCTTCTGTAGTCTTATTTACATAGCAATCCCTTCTCCATCTGTATCAGAGTACCGTTGGCAACTGGTGCAATGATGTCTGTGTTTTGAGTGTCCAAGGCAATTAATGTTCACAGGAGTTCACCGTGAAGCTAAATTTCAGATGTCATTGTCCTAACATTTTTTGTTTTAAATCATTCAGGGGCCTTGATTTTCAAGATAGAAACAGAATAAAAAAGTTAGAAGGTAATTATTTGCTCTTTATTCTGTAGCATATAATCATGACAATGAGTTGTAAAAGGACTAAAGAGAAGGGGCCAGTGGATGGTGTAATGGTTATGTTGGTGGACTCCCATGTAGTGGACCATGACTCAAGTCCCAGACCCAGCAGCTTAAAATTCTCACCAGGCAGGACCAGCAGTTGGCGTAATGGCTATGTTGCTGGACTCCCACGTAGTTGACCGCGGTTCGAGTCTTGGACCCGGTGGCTTAAACTCATGCCGGGCACATGTGCATGCGTGCCCAAGATCCTGAGAGGAGAATGGAGGAGAAGGGATTGTGGCATAGCCATCCCCCCGAGGGGTGATTTCTCATTTTCTGTCTCTCTGTCTCTCTCTGTCTGGTGAGAACACGTGCCCTATAGCATAAACCTCTCAAAAAAAAAAAATTCACGCTGGGCATGTGTGCATGTGTGCCCAAGATCCCTGGATGAAATTTGGTTTCTATTGTCTGTAAACAGGGGACATAATCACATAATCTGAGTGTGAGTGAGAGAGATTTTGTGTGCTCCTTGTTCTCTTGGTTCCTCCCTGCTACTTTCAGATCATTTTCCTCCCTCTGACTTTAAAGCTCTGCTCCTTTACACAAATGACATAAAACTATTACTCATTAGTGCTGCACATACTTCCTTACCTACAGAGCTCTCTCTCCAGCCCTTCTTCCCACTACTAGTCCTGTTGTCTTTCTTGATGGATTTATGATCACACAGACAACTTGCACAGTGGTTTGGCTTCTCAATTTCCTAACCTCCTAACTTCTGGTAGTTTTTATTTATTTTTTTTCCTTTAGTATGTTCTCTTTTTTATCTTTTATTTATTTATTTTTTTTGAGAAAGAGATTTTTGCTATAGGGCATGTACACTCACCAAAGAGACAGAAAGAGACAGAGAGACAGAAAGTGAGAAATCATTGGGTATGGGGACAAGGAGTTGTTTAGATAAAGCTCTGGGCCCTGGTGTAGAGCACGCAAAACCACAATCTGTCAGGAGCTTAAGAGCCTGGCTTCATCCTGATGCTTTGATAAGGATTTTTAAGACAGGGCCCAGAAGAGGACACCTGACTGTTCAAGTCTTAGGAGCCCTCAAACTTCAGAAACCCACAAGCACATTAGTATTACTAGAAAAATGTCTTCATGGGTCTGGCAAGGCCCAAAGTCTGATGTTTCTCTATTAGGGATCAGAGCACTGAGGAAAGAGATACATTACTTGTGTTTTAAGCTTGTTATACGCTCATAGTTTCTGTATGTATGACTCTTTATATCCTAGAAATTAGGCCTGGAGGTAGGTAAACAGAAACCCACAAGCACATTAGTATTACTAGAAAAATGTCTTCATGGGTCTGGCAAGGCCCAAAGTCTGATGTTTCTCTATTAGGGATCAGAGCACTGAGGAAAGAGATACATTACTTGTGTTTTAAGCTTGTTATACGCTCATAGTTTCTGTATGTATGACTCTTTATATCCTAGAAATTAGGCCTGGAGGTAGGTAAAAAAATCCCCATCCTGGACATCCTACAATGCTATACTGCAATTTGTGTTTTCTATGTAAAAAAATCCCCATCCTGGACATCCTACAATGATACTGCAATTTGTGTTTTCTATGTATTTATGTGATCATATTCCCTCCTTAGCCCTGTGTCCATATTTTGCCTTCTTCACCCCTGGGTCTCAGATACTACAGATCCTGAAGACACCATATTGGAACCCTGTTATAAGAAGTGAACATAAAGCACTCATATGTGTGCATGTATACCTGTGGGTGTACGCATGCATGCACACACACACACACACACACTTACTGACATAAATAAATGGAGTGAGTGCTGCTGATTATCTACCATTACGGAAGTTTCATTGTTATAACATGCAGGCTAGCCAATTACATGTTTCTCTCTGTCATCTGGACGTACTACCCAGTTGGAAGTATTGGAAGAGTGTATTTCTGTGACATTAGTGAGATACGGAGCTAATATGTTCCATCCTCTCTGTAAACAGAAGTATTATTGCTATCTATATTGTAAGAACCAGGCCATTCTTCAGATTTTCATCATCCCCTATAGAAAGAGTCCATTTGTGGGTACTGGAGAAAATCAGATGTTCATTACTGGTGCTTTTCTAGGAGGAAGAGGAAGATTAGAATTAACTACAGCATGCTTATTGTGTTCTTAAGGAAAATTGTAGATCTCCTTCATTCCCACTCAATCCACACAGTCCCTGAAGGATTAATGCAATTTTGAACCTTACTGGCACAAGGGCATCTGCCTCTCACCTTCACTAGGAACAAAATCTCCCCAGACCTTGCTCGTTCCAGGGAATTTGTCCTTTCTGTGATGAGCATGTGAACCAAGTCCAGATGCTTCTAGAAGAGAACTAGAGTTAAACCCTGAGTACACAATTATTTTAATGCTGTGTCTAGGAAATAGGATTGACAGTGAGAGGACTATTGAAGTTCTTGGTATCTGAGAAGTAATGTATTGGTGCCCAGAATTTGAGATGGTAATGGGACATCCAAGTGGAACTATCCATCAGGCAGCTCAATGTGTGACATATCAGGGGAAGTAGAGTAGTGGTTGTGAGGCACAACGGTCACCAAAGCACTAGAGTTATTTGAGGTAACAACAGAGGAAGGTGCTTGGAGTCTTTGAATGAATCAACCCCATCCCAGAATAAATAGTTTATTTCAGTCTTTTGTAGAAGGTTGGTGTTCACTTTGGGAAGGAGGTCCTTTCAGCAAAGACAGAGAGAGTGATGTCACTCCCACCCTTTGGGGAGAACAGAGTGCCTAGAGTCTCCTACCTCACTGCTCATGCCCACAAGGACCTCTTATGAGTGAAGCCTCCTCCTGCCTCAACCTGTCATGGCCGCCAGACTCCTCCACTACGTGGTCCTCTGTCTGCTGGGAGTAGGTGAGTCCACAGAAATAAAGAATTTTTGTTTTTTAATGTTGCCAGTTATTTTTCTAATTGTATTCTTATTCTAATTCTAGAATAATTCTTATAATTATTATTCTAACTATTTTTCTTATTCTGTTCTCAAATTTTGTCTCACAGATGCTGGGGTTGTCCAGACACCCAGGTACAAGGTGACAGAGATGAAACAAGCAGCAGTTCTGAGATGCGAGCCAATTTCTGGCCATGATACCCTTTTTTGGTACAGACAGACTGTGGTCCAGGGACTAGAGTTTCTGGTTTACTTTCGCAACCAGGCACCTATTGATGACACAGGGATGCCCAAGGATCGATTCTAAGCTGAGATGCCTGATGCATCCTTCTCCACTCTGAAGATACATCCCACAGAGCCCAGGGATTCAGCTGTGTACCTCTGTGCCAGCAGCTTAGCCACAGCACTGCATAATCACCTTCCCCCTGTGCAAAAACGTTTCTGCTTCCCTTTCTCCCTCCAGCTTCCAGTAGTTCCCAGCCATTTTCTGGGCTCCTCTCGTATCAAAATATGGATGTGGGTCTGGTGTTTTATCTGTCTCTAGACAAGGCAAGAACAGAATGGAATAAAGTATCACATTAGGAAACTTTGTAGGAAGGCAATGGGTGGAGAGGTTCTTGGATTCTCATAGAGTTCTCACAAGAGTGACTGAGTCCAAGACCAAGGATTAATGTTACAGACTAGGAATTTCAAGAAACCGGGTAAACTTAAAATTTGGCAACCCCTGCACATAGATCATTGTCTTTTCATTTTGCTTTTCACTCCACCATTTCTTGTCTCTTCTACCTTAAAAAAACTCCCAGCATCTTTGATAGCTTCCAACATCTAAATGGCACTTTGGCTTCTTAAGTTTCTTCACTTTCTCACATCCAATCATTAATTCTTCCAACTCATCACAGATATTCACTTCCATTCTCATATTCTAGATTTACAGTTACAAATAATTTGAAACACCTCCAAAATAGCTCTTCAAATATCTTATTGTCTTCCACAATCTCTTTCTCATTTCAGGTACTGCCTCTTCGCTAATTCTTTAACCCTATTAGAATCTCTAATTGACTTCTCTTGTAAGCATTGTACTTTTTTTTTAACCTCTCATATATGTGATTCCATCATTAACTCACTTGAGGTTTTGGGCACGCACGCTCATGCTCCCAGCATGACTTTCAAGTCATTAGGTCCAGGACTCGAACCATGCATTTGGCCATACGAGATCCAAAGTCTTAATCTCCATGCCACCTGCTGGCCCTAACTTATATTTTGTGGTCTAAGACAAATGTGAAATTCTTGGGCATATCTTCATCTCTCTTCCTTTTATCCTCTATGCTTCTTTCCTGGAAAATAAAATGGTCCTCACTCCGTGTCCTTTTGAATGGTATAGAGAACCTAAAAAGTCTTTTACCCTTGTCAAACAATGTTATAACCAGGAAGTGTTTCTTGAAGTTTGTAAGGCCATCTATACAGAGATAGGACAATGTTAGCATGAAAGATATGAAGAATAAATGGAGATAAAGGATCCAAGGTTTTTGCATTTTCTAGGAAGTGATAAAACCTGCAGTTTAGGCAAGGATAAGTCAAGGATGGTTACTCCTGTGAATAGTTGGCACCCCAAACACAGGAAATCTAGTGCTCAGTAGCTTGTTTACTATTTATTCCTCCTTGGCAAAGAAAGACCCCATGGGATTTGGAAGGAATCCTGTCAGTGGATACAGGCATTGCAGGCCCCACAGAACCCTGAACCCAGCACACCTGTCTGTGGGATGAGAGGAGGATGAGGACCTGTGCCTTTTCTTGTGCTTCCCTTGGCCTTTGTGTTTTCAGTTTCATCAGTCATCACCTCTCCCTCATTCATGATCCTGTGATGTGGAACACATCCCAAATCTGGACATATGGCAGATAGCAACTATGAAGCAGACCATGAGGTATGACACCACTCAGTATCACATCGGAATAGAGTGCCCCAAGTGTCTAGATCATCTCTAAGAGAACATGCATGTCTGGATTTATGTGCCTACAATCAAGAATGTAGAACGTGTGACTAGAACAGACAGAACAAAAAGCCTTGGATGATCCATTGTGTCCATCACCCTCACTGTCTTGAGGGGATGATGGCAGTGGACTCAATAAGTCCTGCCAGGGTGGTGAGAAAACGTGCACCTGGTGTTGACCAGGTTGGCTCCGTGGGGGAGCCAGACATCCCCTGTGATGGTAGACAGAGTTCATCAACTGGTGTGTTCTGAGCAGACTGCAGCCATGCTAATACCTTCCCCTCATTCACAAGGGAAGCCTGGGCACCAGGCTGTGGGAACCTTGGAAGCAGCCACCTCCAGGCTCAGATAGCCTTGCTATTTTCCACCCTGTGTCTACAACTACAATTTTCTGTCTCTATCATGATGTGTACCCAAATTGTTATGTTTATTAAAATTATCATTAACTTTATTCAGTCTAATAAATGCATGTCCCCTGTAATCTAGGCTGGCTCAGTCTGGCAGTAGATCAGGTTGTAAGGACACTATAGGGGGTACTTATCTCTCTTCCTTTCCATCCCTCTCAATCTCTCTTTGTCATGAAAGAAAGAAAGAAAACAACAAAAAGACTCTCAAAATGTTCTCAAACTCTAGTAAAACAGTGTTTTACTCTAAACCACTGCATGAACATGAAAGCATACCTACTCAGGAATTGCTAAGATTCGGGATGCACTAGCCCCAAAAGCAGATGTTTTAGAAAGAGGCAAGAAAAATACTGGATAGTACATAAATGAAAAAAACCCATTCCATTAGAAACTGTATATAAAATCATCAACTATGAATATCAGGGGGATTTAGAGGAATATTCTGTTTCCTCAAATATTTGAAGCAAGTCTAGTCATGGTAACAGAAAAGGCAGATACATCTACAGTGAGAATGTGTTGATTCAGAGCTGAAGACATGAGAGAAGTAACTAGAAGGACTTAACCACTTCAGCCCACCGGTGTTTTTGTGTTGATACAGGGTACAGATCTGCTAGGAGCACAATGAGGAACTGATAAGTGTCTAAGTGTCTATCCTATGGCTTGCTTTCTTTATAGCCTAGTATAGGAAGTGTGCTTCTAGATAATTTTCCGCTGACCACAAGGAGGCATTGTGGTGATACTGATAGTGGAGAATTGTAGAGAATTTTCTTGTTACTTTTCAAAAAGGACATACGATTAAGAGATAAATCTTTTTCCTGCTCTTCAAATGTTGAGATAAATATTCTACTGGCTATACTGTATGCTCTAAACCCTTAAAATAAGTTTTTCTTCTTTTTTAGATCATTTTATTTTATTTGTGTTATTATTTATTTACTTATGGAATTCCCGGGCTTGATTTCTATATTAAGGTAGGAATAGAAACATCAGTCACCCATCTGTGATGTGAGTAACAAAATACAAAGATATTCCTTCAGTAGGTTTGCAAGTGAGACTTTAACAAAAGCTATTCCTGTATAGAGGGACTTTGCACTATCTTAAAGTATGTGAGATATGGGGAATAGAGACCTGACCTGGTATAGAGATGGGAATAGGCTCAAATAAGAGAATGCTTGTCTCTGAGAAGCAGCACGTGACGTCAAGGATATAAACAGCTGCTTCACACCTGATTCAGCCAAACTCAGACTCCCCTGCCAAATAGGAAGCTGTATAAAATATTACAGTGACATTAACACCAACGGTCATCACTGGTAGATCCACCTATCAGGGGCCAGGAACTCTTGAACTCCTGCCTCCCAACCCAAGCTCAGTCTGGAACAGACAGATGCACCCCTCCTCTTCTGACCCTGACATGGATCCTGAACTTTCCCATTGTGTGACCCTTTGTCTTCTTGGAGCAGGTATGTCTGGGCAGAAGGAAATCTTTAACTTAGGCTCCCTTTGCCTCAGTTCCAGGCCTTTCCTTTCATGGCAGCCAAACCACCCTCCTTCTTAACTCTGACTCCGCTTTTCTTCTTTCTCTCTAGGTCACATGGGTGCTATGATTATCCAGAACCCAAGATACACAGGAAAACCAGTGACTCTGAATTGCTCTCAGAATTTGAAACATGATGCCATGTACTGGTACCAGCAGAAGCAGGGTGGAGCACCAAAGCTGCTGTTCTGCTACTACTATGAATTCCTTAACAAGGAGAAAGACTCCTGATAACTTCCAGCCTGGCCGGCCGAACTCTTTTTCCTGCTCCCTTAGTATCACCAGGAGCGGGGGACTCAGCCGTGTACCTGTGCGCGAGAAGCAGGGGCACAGAGCTGCTGTGCTACCATCCCCCTCTTCACAAACCTTGGTTTCCCAGATCCAAGTGCTTTCTCTCAGACCCTGCTTCCTCCTTACTGCAATAGGAAGTGGGTTTGTGGCTGTCGTTATCTCGTTTGTTGACAGAAGTTGGGGATAAGGACAACAGTTTCATTGACAGTTATGCCAAGAGTGGAAACGTGGTTACATTTGCCTGACATTTAATTTGTGGTATTTTATCAGATCACCTTAAGAATTCATTCTGTCCTATTCAGTAGTTAAATATAAACTTTTTCTTTATTTCTTTGTTTATTTTAATGTAAGTTGAAGGCTTAGAGGTATAATAGACATTATGCCAAGGGTTATGGACACCCAATGTCAAATATGGTAGAATTTTGTGATTTTTTTAAGTTGATTTATTTCTTGACAGAGAAAGAGGAGGCACCCTCGACGAGGTCTCCATGCTGTGATCCACTCCCAACCTCGCACAGACGATGAGTGCACACATGGGTACCTGGTGTGTACAGGAAGACCTCAGGATTAGAATTTAGGACCCTCCCATGTGGCTTTAGCATCACAAAGTATTATGTGACCACTGAACACCCCAGCTGGCCTCAACTCCAGGCCTGGAGTTACTACCTCATTAACAGGAGAATAAAGTAGCACAAGATAGAGATCTCTCAGAAGAAAAGCCATCTTGGAAATAAAATTAAAAATGCATTAATCTGCTCATTTCTGGAATTTCAGGTGTTATTTTCATGGCAAAATGAAAACTATGAATAGATACATAAAAGCTACTGCAAAGAGACCATGTTTAGAGATGAAGATTGCAGAGCTGTCTGCATAGAAGAGGGCCATGATGCTGTGGAGTACAGGAGAGCTTCCGTGAGTGTCTAAGAAATAGTGTCTCAGTCTTGACTGATATGCATGGTAATCATGCTGGAAAAAGAAAAGTTACACACTGTAAAGATATATATGATCAAATGTAATATAAAAATAATTTTAAAAATTTAAAAAGAAATACTACAGGAGTGAGGGGGATGAGATGCCTGGTGCCCTTGGGAAAGCTAAATGAAGTTCTGAGCAAAAAATGCTGGCACCTCATAAATATTCACATGGGAGTATATATATTTACATATTACCTTATCACTAATATCTCTGGATGTGACTGGTGTTTCAAAGTAAAGTAGAAAATATTAATAGTGGTAAGAATATCTAAAAAGGCAAAATTTTGCACATTAAATAAAGATAATCTGGGAAAAATATAACAAAGTCTATTCCAAAATAACTAACAAATTGTTCGGTTTAACAATAATAATTGCTAACACTAAGCACTTTTTACATACCAGACTTTCTTTTCTCCACTTATCTGCTTTATATATTTACAGCTTACCTAAATTTTATGACACCTCATGAGGTAAGTACTATTATAATCATACCCATTTTAAAGATAAGGCAGCTGAGACACAGGCAATTTAAATAACTTTTTTTAAAAAAAGATTTTTACTATGGCATATGTGCACTCTCTGGAGACACAGAAAGGGACAGAGAAAGAGAGTAAGTGGGAAAGTTCCCCGCATGGGGATGCCCACCACAGATCCCGTCTCCTTCATTTTCCTCTCAAGATTTTGGGCACAAACACTCATGCAGCTGGCATGAGTTTCAAGCTGTAGAGTCCAGAAAAACTGTAGTCGGACATGTGGGAGTCCAGCACCTTAACCACTACGCCACCTGCTGGCCTCTAAGTAACTTTCTTTTTCTTTCTCTCTCCCTTCCTTCCTTCCTTCCTTCCTTCCTTCCTTCCTTCCTTCCTTCCTTCCTTCCTTTCTCTCTCTCCCTCTCTCTCTCTCTCCCTCCCTCCCTCTCTTCCTTCCTTCCTTCCTTCCTTCCTTCCTTCCTTCCTTCCTTCCTCTTTCTTTCTTCCTTTCTTTCTTCTTTCTTCTTTCTTTCTTATTGTAGACCTTGTTTGTGGTAGAACCAGGACCCAAATGCAAATGGGTTATTTCCAGAGCTCATTCTTACTGCAGAGAGTATATGGATTCTAAACTAGATCTGTGTTAAGGAATGTAGCTGTTCACAAACTGGAGAATTTCTAATCTCTTGCCAACATTGCACCACTTTCCTTTGGATCTTGGCTAGAATACTAAGTCCTTATGATTCATTGGCTGCACTTGAGTACACTGAAACCCAAGATTGAGGGAGCCCTGGAGGGTGAGGGATAATAAATATTGGGTTTTGATCCTGCACCTGGGGCATCCTTTGAGGATGAATGAGTCTCCTTAGATGGTGAGAAATTAAACTTACTGTTTTCAGTTTGCACAAATGCTCAGGTGTTCTCCCTAAGCACTGCACTGTGGACCATGGTTACGTGCAGTGTAGGACATCTACGAGGATGCAACTTGAAAGAAAAATTGACAGGATGCTCAGGGGACAGGTGCAGGCAGAGAAGCACCTGCCTCTGAGAGTGGTGAGCAAGGCTGATGTGACTCCTCTATGCAGCCTGGTCCTACCAGCAACCTGGAAGGCTGGGCAGCATTGGGAATTGGGAGAATAAGCTGGAATCTGGCCATATCATAGAGGTCCATTGTAGTCTGAGAGTGGATATAGGGACTGGCATCAGAGACACATATCCACCTACTTCTACCAAACTGGGACACCGAGATCTACATGCCCAACCCTCTCACCGCAGGGACTAGGATGCTGGACTTAAAGAGACTGGCTTAGATCTTCCCATGGACACCAAGCCCCTCATCTATATGAACCATACGATTTATATCTATACTATTTAGAGATATTGACTGATTGATACAACCTACAGGAAGGCCATCTATATGGAAAAGGCTCAAGTCCAATAAAATGTATGGATTGCTCTCTCTTCCTTCCCTAGCTTCCTTTGTTCCTGATTGAGAATAGGTGGCTAGACAGGAACTAATCACTCATGTCATCTCAGGTGTGCAGTTAGTGCTGAGAACTAACCCTGTTTTATTTTATCTGGGATTCCAGGGCCCTTCCTTGATCCTGAAGTTTGACAACTTCTTGCCATATGAATATGAGTAGGGTTTGGGGGAAGCCCTTAGTAACGGAGACAAAATAGAAACAGCACATACATTTGCAAGTGGACTCCCAGAACACAGTTAAAGTCCAGCCTTCCCAGGGCACCTTGGTTCTCTGCTATGAGGTTATTTTGCTTCTTGTGGGCAGATGCATACTGGGCATAGACAATCTACCCTGCTCTGGGGATGACACTGTACGGTCTATTATAACACCTTCTTTGGTAGTCCAACGTTAATCTCTCTGTTTCTCTCTCCCCTTGCTCTTTTATTGAGCAGCATTTTATATTAAATAGCAAGACTAGGGAAGAGATAGTTCCACTTGCAAGGCTTGTCCTTATACAGGGAAGAAACTGCACCGACAGGAATGTTGATGCAGCCTCATGGTTTTCTTATCAAGTAGGGAAATTAGAACTGCTAAAACTTTGTAGCAGATTTTAAGACAAGTGAATTGACTGGGTCATGCATTATTCACTACACATTGAACTGTTCCTCCTGATATAAATCTGTCGGATAAACCGTTTAAGTGCCACTTAAATAGGACTCATTAAAAGTTAGATGCAGTACTTGGGAAGATATATTAAAATTATTACAGTTTGCCCTACATTTTTAATATCAATAAAAAATATCAAGTACCACACTTGTTCGGAACAAAAGGGATTTCTGAAATCTACCAGAATGGCTTTGTAAAAGCCCATACATATGTATCATATGGATTTTTTTGCTAGACTGAAATTTCTAAGGTGACTGAATAAGTAGGTGTGTGTGAGCAAGGTGCTCAGTAAAATCAGCTGTTGGGCCTGCTAATTCTGAGATGTCTGACTCGGAGGAGAGGAATGAATGTGTCCTCACTTTAATTTTGAACAATATGCAGCTATTTCTAATATGGAAAAGTCTATTGTATCATCACACACACAGTGATCCACAAGATGAGGCAATTCCAGCTCTTTAATCAAACAGCCAAGAAATACTACTCAAGATCAGATTCAGATAATTTTCAGTGAAAATCATAGAAGTTGAAAATGGTCACCTGGGCCACCATCCAACTATAATGTTCTACTTTTCTCTTTCTTTTGTTCATTACACATCTCTGCTCCTTTATTCACAAATGGTTAAGGCTGTTGGGTCTCTTTATTCACCTTCAAAAGTTTCTTCTATAAAGTGAGGGGTTGGGGCTCCTTCCCACCTTTTATAACTCCATGATGTGGTCTAGAAAACTGACCCTTCTTCAGTGAAATGGCCAAATAACTCAACCAGGAGTCAGATTAGAACTTCTCCAGGATTATGTCTACCCTCCATGTCCTGCTGCCCAAAGGGAGGGGAGACATGGGAGCATAGACTCACCTCACCTGTCAGTCTCAGGTGGGTTGTGAAACTGGGACTGGAGGTGCAGATGCTTCTGCTGCTCCTGTGAGCCTTCCACTTGGAGAGATTGGAGGGTGTAATAAAGGAGAGGGGATGGGAAGGGCCATAGTTTGCTATGGCTAAGCCTACGGGAAGAGAATTCTCTTGTTCTCTGGGAGTGTGAATCCACCAAAAGTGTGAGAACCTCATTTAAAGAAGGGGGGAAATTAAAACCTTAGGAACATGTGAATGTACTGGAGAACAATCATGAGCTCATGGTGTTAGATGCTCTGGGAGTATGGAGAGAGTAGGCAAGCAAGAGGAAGTACTTTGTTTTTGTTTGTTCATTTTTAGTTTGCTGTAGGGTGTGTGTGATGGCTGGGGAGAGACAGAAAGAGAAGGAAAGTGAGAAGTTACCCCTGAGGGGATGGCCACAGTCCCCTCTCCTCTGTTCTCCTCACAGGATCTTGGGCAAACATGCACACATGTTTGTGTGTTTTTTCAAGCAGCTGGGTCGAG